TGGGGCACAGAGCCGAGAGTGCTCTGCCGGGTCATATCTAAAACAGGCATGACAGATCCATATTGGGCATGACAGCCTAAGCGCGTCATGTCGGTATCTCTGCCGGCACGGCTGATGTGCATCTGGCACCTCAGATACTACAACAACATCATTGAGGGTGAGAATGGAAAGTTAGACATAAGATGGAGTAACACTTGGTATTGATTTAAATGCATCAGAGAACACCCAAAGGTACAAAAACAGGGCACTTATATGGAAGCTGTGTAGGATGTGTACTGTGGGTACTATCCTCCACAGGACTGTGTACATATCAGCACTTTCAATTAATACCTAAATCACATATTTTAATCACAGTCTAGTACAACCTGCTTATCGAACATGGTTGTATGTGGGTGCTAGACTGTATCATGTCAATGAGACTTGGAAGACAGAGAGTATACATGTTGACAAGCAGCAAATGTGTGATAACATAGACACAAGGCATGTTGCAAGGAGAGTGAGACATAGATGAGACATATGGCCATGCATGTGGGTGAGTGTGGTCAAACTTCAGCGCAGTATTATCAGGCGCTTAATCCCTGCCCTGAATAAAAATGGTGCTATCTTGCGGGATGTGTTTCTCTCTTTGTTCCCCCCTTCTCAACCTGCAGCTCATATCTTCTTGCCTGCAAATGTAGCTAGCTGCTGTTCAAGCTCAAGGACAGCTGCTCACTGCAAGCCAAGTGTAACAGTGTGCAATCAAACTCTCTTGATGGATGTATAAGCTAGAGGTCTGTGTGTATTCCTCCCAAGTGCTGAGGCTGTGCTTGGAAGTGGAACGAGTAAGCCTATCCCCACGTTCTCAAAATTTAGACACTGATATTCTATCAGGACCATCAGCACTCCATCCAATGTGAGTAGGAGCACGATATTAGGCACAAGTGGGTTGCGCGCTACGGACTGTGCCCCGCTTTTACATATCTTGATGGCTATTGCATGCAGGTCATGCTTGAACATGTTTATCGAGTGCGAGCATGGCTGCAAGGGCCGGCAGCTCTATCGTCACCTACACAGAGTGCACTTAGAGCTGCTTGTACATGCCCATCACACGCTAGCTTCAAACTATGATGGACGTGTCACTGTACATGTATCGGCATGAGCAGCAGGATGGTGAGCAGATGCATGCCCAAAACTGTCAGCCACATGGATGTGCGCCACAGGCATGCATGCCTGTACGGTCTTATCTGTCTCCTTGATGAGTGCAATGCAGACTGACACCTCACCCAGCACTTTCTTCATGTAGTACATCTCTTGAAAGGTGAGTCCGCATTGTGTATGGACAATATGCACTCTGATTGACATACTCCCTTTGCAGTTTTGTACCTCAGTACCTTTGCTAGCCCCAAGGTGTCTTGTTGGATCCAGGTCAACGGCAGGTTATTCCATGCTATTATAGTCCCTGTACCCCATACACACCATGTAATGCCCTTGGCTTGTTTAAATGTATTGCTTTTCATTACATAGCCATCAATGAGAGGTGTGCAGAGGATTACAACATAAGCTACATATTAATTACAACAGAAGTTCAGTCTGGTTACCAAGAAGTGCGGAGTTCTACAAAGCTTGGTTAAGGAAGTACGAGCACTACAAACCAGGGACTAGGCTATGGAAGTACCAGCAGTGTGTATGCTGTGTACTGATCTGCAGCCTTGTTTCAGTTCCCTGATGTGAAGCCCAGCAGCTAGTTATTGATGCAGGATCTTCTGCACAGCTCATGATGGTACACATGAATACTGTCATTCAGAGTCAGGCTGAAAGCCCATGGGTGTGGTGAAGCCAGGGTTTCGCCTCTGTATCCTCTTGGCAGATCTCTATCCACTCAATGGCCCTGGACAGAGATGAGATTGTGAACCAGGGATTGCAGATGATGTTCCTCAGGAAGTGTGCATGCTCGGGACTGTGTAATTCCAGTGTTCAGAAGAGGATAGATCCAATGGTTTCTGACTAGCACTTGCATATGAGGCTAGGCACAGTGAGCCTGTATTTCAATCAGTGACATTTGCCTGGGGAAGAAAATTGATAATTATAAAGTGTTAGCTTTGGCAAGAGGCAATTCAGGACGGACAGCAGTGTTTTGCATGGTAAGTCAGCTCCTGTGGCATGCAACATCTTTCGGAGCAAGGTAGCATACAAAGAGGAGTTTGTTCAATGTGGGAATATGAGCGCGAGTGCAGTGTGTATGCAAGTGAACAGTGGATGATGCACTTGCAGCACTATATCATGGCAGTGCACATCCATTTTTGTCAGGCAAAACATTTATGAGGATATGTCCTTACAGCATTTACTTTGTTTCTGACAGTTTGAAACAGCCTTGTAAATCAGACCCAACCTGATGCTAACGGCTTGGGTCTGGTTTATGAGACTAGGACGACCATGGAAGGAGGGAAATCAGAATACTCTGCGATACTGCAACAGGGAGCTGCCAGCTTGTTGATGCGCGTGCAGCAAACCTTTGCCGGGCAGGACTCCAGGCACCGGACCCAATGTCACAAATGGTCACTCAGTGAC